CCCCCTGTTGCATTTTTTGTAAAGGTTTCGGCGATCCGGAAGGAAGTGGACAACATGAAGGCGGAAGAGGCGAGACTGCTGGAGAGACTGGCGGAGGAGTCGAAGGTACTGCTGTGTGCGTATCATATCAATCAGAAATTTGCAGACACATTACGGATACCTTGTCGTGTCGAGCCACTTGTCGATGCGTTGCGTCCTTGGTGAAGAAAGGATAGAAAAGGACCACGAAGGCACCTCCGACAGAAAAGCCAGACTTCAGTCTCGCGTGTGGTAAAATGTTGCGATTTCGAGGTTCTGTCTCGGTATGTTGAAGCTTTCTAGAACAAGCGAGTGAGTTACGAGCGAAAACAAGTTTTGCGATTAGAAATACGCACGTGCGAACACTGGTGTGTCGTTGATGCATTTTTTAGGTAGTCAGCAGGAGGCGCAACACAAGAACGACCCGACAAGACCCTGAATGACAGTCCGACACAACCCTGAATGAAAAGTTATTCTTCGTTTTGGCGATGGGGATAAGTTCGCGAAAAATGCGTGGTAAGATTGGAATCGTTCGCATCCCGTGCGGTGTCTGGCCTGTCGAATCACTACAATATCAGCAGTGATGTAGACATTGCCCCTTACTCAGCAGGGAATTCACTCTTTTGTTGCTGTGGTCGTTTTTTCTGTTTGTTGTTGAATTTATTGCCCGGGTTTTGTTTCTGTTACTGTGATCATCACGTCGTTTTCGTTGTTGTTAACGTTGTTGCGCTTGTGTTATGCCGTGTGTGAACAGGTCAAGGGAAAGCTGAAAGGCAAGCAAGAGATGTGCGTGACCCAGCTGGAGGACAACACGCAGAAGATGCAGAACCTGGGGACTCTACCCCACGGCCAGCACGAGCAATACAAGGCAAGCGGCTGCGCGACTGCTTGTCGGTTTCCGTACACAGGCACACGTTCATCCTTGTCCCGGATGCCTCCTTTTTGGACCGACGTCCAGTGTGGTTGTGCCCTCGTCGATGTAGTAGATATTCTTCTGCCTGTTCGATAACCAGCTTTCGATGGAGGCAGATCATTCTTAGCACCGCGACGCGCTAGCCTGATATTGAAACGACGGGGTGGGTAGGGGGCCACGACGACGAGCGAGATCAACGGCACCGCCCCTGCCTCTGTCGGGCCGGTGTTTAGTATTTCGATCCTCTGCTGACTTACCAGCTGATCGGTTAGTTTTCGTTTCCCCTCTTGATGGTGGTGTATTCCCGACTCAGACGATGGACACGAAGAAGCTGATGAAGAAGCTGAACGCTGCCAACGAGAGTCTCAAGAAGTTCAGCCACGTGAACAAGAAGGCACTGGACCAGTACGTGAGCTTCAGCGAGCAGAGGGAGACCATCCTCAAGCGGAAGAAGGAGATCGACGCGGCGCAGACGGCCATCAAGGAGCTCATCGAGGGCCTGGACCTGCAGAAGGATGAGGTGGGTCGTGGTTGTTTGCTGGCCACGGTATGTCGCGGTGTTTCACCTCTTCGCCTCCAATTTGTGTTCTCAAACAGCTTTGAACATCCTGGATATTTTTTATGGGGTATGACGGCTTGCGCCTAACCTTGTGCCCTGCTCGCCTCGACAGTGATGATTATCTTAGGGATATTGTCCAACAGCTTTGAACATCTTGGTTGGACTTTTTTTCAACGGTAGATGACGGCTTGTGCCCTACCTTGTTGCCTCGACAGTGATGATTATCTTATGGATATTGTCCAACAGCTTTGAACATCTTGGTTGTTGGAGTGTTTGTTAGGGTCGATGACGGCTTGTGCCTGCCCTTGTGCCTACCCTTGTGCCTACCCTTGTGCCCTCTCGCCTCGAAATGGTGATTATTTTTGCGATGTTGTCGTCGACGAATGATATCGGTCGTCACGGTGCAATGATGAATACCGTAGTAGGTTGCACAAGCTACCACACCCACTCAACCCCGACTGTCGAAGCCTGATTACTCTGCGGAAACAACGGTAGTGACCGACTGCGCTGAGATGGCAGCTGTGCTGAGATGGCGGCGTTGGAACCGTATTCGTCTCGTGACGTCTCGTCTAGAGCTTCCAGAATTCGCATATTTTGATTTTGGCATCCTCTTCGTCGTGGAGTGATCGCGCTTCAAACTTCGGTCCGGGGGTGTGTGGTCTTTTATTTAACCTATGTACGGTAACCCTTGTTTCCGCCCCCAGAGCGACGATGATGTTATCGTCATGGGTGGCAGCGATGACTTGTCGTCCCAAAGACAACAATGAAATAAAGCTGAATGGCACACGATATCTGTACATATGTTTGTCCTCTTCATGCGGCTCCCTTCACCTTTAAAAAAATGCGGGCCATATTCCATATCGACATTCAATGTTCTTAATGCGGCTTCCTTTGCAATCCCGAAAAAAATGAAAGGCGATTCTGCGCACGTTCCGAGGGGTGAGCCAGAACTTCTCGGAAGTGTTTCAAGAGCTAGTGCCCTCGGGATCGGGTGTGATGGTCATCAAGACCAGCGCCGACGCTGCCGCCACCGCCAAGAAGAAGGGTTCGAAGGACGCTGAGGAGGAAGAGGGGGAGGAGGAGGAGGATGAAGGGGAGGGTGACGAAGAAGCAGGAAACGTGAGGAGTTTGGTTGGCGAGTTGTTTCTGGGACATGAAGGGGGTACGCGATGTGAAGGGGGTAAGTGTCGTTGCTGCGAGGGGGCTCCTCTGCAGCTGGCCCCGTCTGTTGTAGTCACCACGGAACCCCCCGTCCCAGACCTTCCAAAAGAGAACGAAAAGTGATGACAGCCGGCGGGACATATCGGAACGCTCAAGTCCGGACCATAACGTCGAACATCCCAAGTAAAAGGAAAGGCGGCAAAGGAAGGGCGGGATATTTCCTTCCCGTCCAGGATTGGAGAATGTTTTGCCAGAACCATGGTTGCGGTTCTCCACGTGCAAAAAGCCTGGCTGTACTTCGTTGAGTGTGTATCCCTAACTTCCTCTATACCCCCCCCCCCTCCTCCGCCGTCTCCTTCTCGTGCAACACCGAAATGTGTTGATACCAACGATAGCCCGGGTCCGGCAAGAAATCTTCAAAAGGGAAAGGGAAAGCGAAGGCCAAGGCACGGGAAGGAGAAGAAGACGGAGCGGGGGCGGATGAAGAAGAGCCGAACGGCTTGTCGCCAACGACGCTGGTCAGCGACTTCGTCGGCGTCCAGATAAAGGTTTGCCAGTCACCCCGTCGATCGTGGCGTTGTTTTAGTGTCAACGCGCAGGTCGTGTCGCTTTTTTCTCGTTCGTTTGGCGTTGTTGCATGGTTTGACAACATTATAGTTTTTTGCGCGGTTTGGATCCACATTGACGTCGACATTTTTTTAATCTCGTCAGTGCGACGTGCTTTTCATTGGTGTGTTTTGCATTGTGCGCGTTGTGTTGGTTACCGTTTCGATCGGTAAGGAATTGGATGTTCTTGTGCCAAGTAGACCATGAAGGTGGTCTGCTACCTGCTGGATCGGGGAGGAATATGGGAAAGACAGGAAGATGGTAAGGAATGATGGTGTTTGGTGACACTCTTCGGGTCGACGTGGAAAGGCCCACAGCGTCGCTGCGTGTGTTATTTTTTTCTTTTTCTTTTTCTCTTTCTTCTTCTTTTTCTTTTTCTCTTTCTTCTTCTTTTTCTTTTTCTTGCCGTTGGGTGTCCACCGATCGTTGGCGTTGTTTTGTTTTTCTCCCCATCGCCGATGGTCGCATTTCTCGCCCGTTATGTCTATGAACGCCGATCCCGCGACTCCTTGCGATCGTCTGATGCCGTGGTCGCGGTCTTGGTTAGGTGTCGTTCGTGGCCGCGGGCGAAACGTTCCTCATGTCGCAACTCTCGGGGGGGCAGAAGGCCGTGGTGGCTCTCGCCCTCATATTCGCGATTCAGCGCTGCGACCCCGCCCCCTTTTACCTGTTCGACGAGATTGACCAGGTGAGAAGGGTGTCGATGAGAGCTCGGATCGACATACGAAAGGGAGGTGCTTCTGTCGTGTTTCATGGTTCGTATTTCAAACGAGCCAAACTTTGGACAGCCCCAACGACCCGGTTGCGGTGTGCCTCATGGTGATCGTCTCCTGAACACTCCGTTTGGTTTTCCGTTCGGCAAACATTCCGCGTGGGTCCAACGTGTGCATGTTTCAGAATTCACTTTTTTTTGTTTCGGTTTTTCACGGGCGAACTAGGCACTGGATAGCTCTTACCGCGCGGCCGTGGCCTCCCTGATCCAGAGGCAAGCCCACTCGTCGGACAACCCGACGCAGTTCATCACCACCACGTTCCGCCCGGAGATGGTGGCTGTCGCAAGCCAGTGCTATGGAATCTCCCACCAGAACAAGGTACGCTTACGTTTGGGCTCCGCTTCTCAGACGAAAAAATGGCCTTTAGGCGGATGGCTGCAACGTAGGTGCTGTGTTGGGGTGCGATTCGTCCCGAAACGGTTTCAACTGAAATGCGATGCAAATGGTTCGTGATGAGAGTAATGGTGCGTGTTTTTTTTTTTATCTTGGCTCGCCACACGCTACCGGATCTTCAACCTAAACTAGGTATGTTGGCGTGTGTGGCGCAGTTTATCGGGCGTTCGACAGTTTCGAGTATCACGTATGAGTTCAATCTCAAGCGTATAACAATGCGACCGATCGTTTATGGGAATGTACGGTTTCCATGGAACGAGCGCCAACTCCCTTCCCCCCATGCCTCGAGGCAGCTCCGCTGCTCCTGGGTGGTTTCGCAAAGTTGTTAACGAAGTGATCAAGAAACTCCGCGGTAGGTATTGCATCGTTTGTGGACGGTTTGATTGTCTTCGATTAACTCCTGCGCTCTGTTTGAACGATTACGTACACACAACTTCAAACTAACGCCCCCCCCCCCCCCCCCCCCCCCCCCCCCCCCCCCCCCCCCCCCCCCNCCCGTCCTCACCCGCCCACCCAAGGTGAGCAACATCCACGTCCTGCCGCGCCAGGAGGCTTTGGGTTTCGTGGCCAACATCATGAACGAAGAAGAGGCCGTCGGGGTGGAGCTGCAGCAGCCCGCGAGTGCCGCGCGCCCAAAGCAGGGAGGAGGGTCACGCCGGGGCAGCAGAGGTGCCGGGGAGGAGGAGGAGGATGAGGAAGAGGAAAAGGAGGAAGCGGACGAGATGGACGTTGAGGAAGAGGAGGGCGACGACGAGGAGGAAGAGGAGGAGGAGGAAGAGGAGGCTCGTAGGCCGTCGATGGAGGGCAAGAGGCGCAGGGTTAGGAGTGGGAGTGGGGGCGAACGGGAGTCTTCGTCGCGATAGGGGTGCGGCGCATCATGGCATGCGCGCGGCGACGACGATGATCATGACGCTGTTGGCGTGGACAAATACCTTCGATAGTTTCAGCCCTCCGGTTGTTCTTGTGTGACGGCAAGGGTACCGTGCGTGAGCTTGTCTCGGGTTCTCGGTAGCGGGAGCCGACCGGATTCCTTGTTCTTGGTGTTGGACAGGCACTATTTTTCGAAAGCACATACTCTGACGATAGCGGGATTTGGGTAGACGGAACAGCCAACCGAATGTTCTGCGTATGTTCTGTCTCGTTTGTCAGGGAAGCATAAAGTGGTCGTACGTTGGTAGAGCGGCTGAATGAAGAGACACAGTTGAGGCGCACGATGTCCGTCAGAAGACGGCCATCGTAGATTGTCTTGGACTTGACTATTTTCAACGCAAAACAGAGCAAGAGCTTTTTGCTTTCCTAGACGCTCAGCTCAACCCAGGTGCACTCAGAAACACAGGCCTCTCTTGCCCGACAAACGACCGGGAAGCACCCTGTGCGAGAAATGAATGGAGGTGAACATCCCTGTTTCACGCAGAAGAGGAGACGAAAAAACTTGTTGCATTCCACCAAAAACATGGCGGATCCCTGACGCTGTGCACCGAGTTGTCTTGGTTTGTTGCCGTTTTGTTTCCGAGGCCCAAGGAGGGGCCTTTGGACGGGCTCAAATGGAAGCCCGGGCGCCTGATTCGGGTTGATTGCTGTCTTCGTTTCGCGGGAACAACGCGTGATGCGGAACAGAGGTGCAGATTGTATCGACTCAGAGGGGCGCTCTTTTTGCTTGACGATGATAGCATGCGTCGGGCGTCCACTTTGTAGCTTGCGTTCTTTCGTCTTTGGATGCAGGGTCCCCGCCGGCCTGCCTGCCTGCCTGCCTGCCTGCCTGCCTGCCTGCCGCCTGCCTACATATATATCACGGTGGGATTAGGAACTTGCAGTTATGCACCTGTGGAAGAGACAAGAAGATTGTGAGGAGGCGATTGTAGTTTTTCATCAACGTCTGGTCGGGCGTTTCCAGGCTAGACAGGGGCAGAAGGGCGGGTGCTGCTGCGGCCAGGAGCGGCATGATGAGGCTGAGCCACGAGGGTATGACAATGCCCTACAAATATGATTTCTCTTTTCTGTACCTTTACACCGAAGGTTGCACCGTATGTGATGTATTCAGGGTGTTAACTCTTCGCGATGTATATTTTTTGGGGCGATCTTGTCTGGTTGTTTCGTGCTGAATTTTTTTACTATTTGTGTGCACAGCAAGTCACACAGATGGTCCCTTCGTTGTTTCCTCTTGCGTATTTTGTCTGTATGGGTATAGTCTCGTTGCGTGTCCACTATTTAGCCGCTTTTTGGTTCCGATACGTCCTCGCTGTCGCAGAAGAAGACCCTCTGTGAATTGTGTACAATAGTCCGAGGAAAATAGAGGATTGTGACATCCTGGGGGATACACGCTTTTTGCTCTCGAAGCGTTTCACACACGTCATCCGCTGGTGAAACTGAGGCGTGGGGTTTAGGCTAGGGTCAGAGCTGCATGGTATTTAGCACCCTCTGGGGGCTGAACACTTGGCAAAATTTAGCGCTTTCATTGGTCTTGTCGGCGCCATAGCGAATTGGACGTTCTGGCTATGAACTTGTGGGCTCAAGTTATTTGGCTGGAATGGATTGGATCAGTCCGGATCCCCGTGCCTTGGTACAGGAAATATTGAGAGGCCCCGGCGGATACAAACTTTCAAGCTTTGGCCTTCCAGATTTTGTGACACATCTTGGGGGAATAGAAGGAGACAGAGAGACAGAGAATTCAAAAGAACAAAGTGTTGGTCAAACTGAAAAGGCTCAGGCTGCTGGCATAGCGACCATACGCTTGACAAGGCAAAACGTTTCGCGATGGTATGCGTGTATGGAGGCCTAATCGCAGACCTCCCAAAAACATGGCACAACACTCAACGGTATGAAAAACAGGTCAAGGCTGTGTTTTGGTGTCCACTTTCTCCAACGCTACTCTCGAGGGAGATCGTTAGCATGTCTACCCAGGGCTTGACCAAGTCATCAAATAAGGCGCATGGCTGCAGCCCAGTCATCCCCGGCTTCCAACAACCGCGCGTATCGCGTCTCCCAGCCTTCTTCGAGGACTTGCGCCCACTCAAGGCTAGCCAGACCTGGGCCTCGCAGACGTTCCCCGGCGTAGCGTTTCCTGCTTCCAATCGGGGGGGGGGGGG